AATTAGGTACAAAAACAATGTCAAATAATGAATTAAACTCCATCGTACATCTGTTTGGTTCATCTAAGATCCTAAGGAACTAGATTTTATTGGAAACCTATGGGACGGTTGAAGAAAATCCAAAGCGGTGACAAAAACCAATTAAGTTATCTAATAGCAGGGCGCCCCTCGTCATCTGTATTTGTTTCTAAATAATCGCTACTAATCATGAACATTTGGACAGAGTTTGCCCAAATTTTGACAGAACTAATTTTGTATAACTGATGGGTGCTAGAACCGTGGTACTCAATGTAAAGTCTAACCTCAACTAAACTGCTTACCATAGGGTCGTTCCATTTCTGATGTTGGTCTGTATGATTACAAACACATCACTAAGAAATTCAGAAAAAATGTACGGTTACCTCAGATCTATCGGTAATATTTGTGTATTGTGACAATACAATTTACAATACCCGGATAGAAATCGAAACAAATTGTTGCCCTGTTCGACAGTTTTCTAAATGAGCTTACCAATGCCATAGCACATCCGATAAGAAACATTATTTTATGAGGGAAACAAATGAGTCAGTGCCAGTCTCTGTCTCCCTTTGGTGGATGTAGCTGTGTGAAGTTAGCTCAACATACGACATTCGACATTAGACATTCAGAATTTGAATGTTTTGCCAGCTCGACATTAGACATTAGACATTCAGAATTTGAATGTTGTGCCAGACATTCAGAATTTGAATGTTGTGCCAGCTCGACATTAGACATTAGACATTCAGAATTTTTGAATGTTGTGCCAGCTCGACATTAGACATTAGACATTCAGAATTTGAATGTTGTGCCAGCTCGACATTCAACATTCAGAATTCGAATGTTGTGCCATTCGACATTAGACATTTCAGAATTTGAATGTTGTGCCAGCTCGACATTAGACATTCAGAATTTGAATGTTGTGCCAGCTCGACATTAGACATTAGACATTCAGAATTTGAATGTTGTGCCAGCTCGACATTAGACATTCAACATTCAGAATTTGAATGTTGTGCCAGCTCGACATTAGACATTAGACATTCAGAATTTGAATGTTGTGCCAGCTCGACATTAGACATTAGCCATTCAGAATTTGAATGTTGTGCAAACAGGACATTAGACATTCAGAATTTGAATGTTTTGCCAGCTCGACATTAGACATTAGACATTCAGAATTTGAATGTTGTGCCAGCTCGACATTAGACATTAGACATTCAGAATTTGAATGTTGTGCCAGCTCGACATTTGACATTAGACATTCAGAATTTGAATGTTGTGCATTAGAATTTGAATGTTGTGCATTTAGAATTTGAATGTTGTGCCAGCTCGACATTCAACATTCAGAATTTGAATGTTGTGCCAGCTCGACATTAGACATTAGACATTCAGAATTTGAATGTTGTGCCAGCTCGACATTAGACATTCAACATTCAGAATTTGAATGTTGTGCCAGCTCGACATTAGACATTAGACATTCAGAATTTGAATGTTGTGCCAGCTAGACATTAGACATTCAACATTCAGAATTTGAATGTTGTGCCAGCTCGACATTAGACATTAGACATTCAGAATTTGAATGTTGTGCCAGCTCGACATTAGACATTAGCCATTCAGAATTTGAATGTTGTGCCAGCTCGACATTAGACATTAGACATTCAGAATTTGAATGTTGTGCCAGCTCGACATTAGACATTAGACATTCAGAATTTGAATGTTGTGCCAGCTCGACATTAGACATTAGACATTCAGAATTTGAATGTTGTGCCAGCTCGACATTAGACATTCAACATTCAGAATTTGAGACATTCAACATTCAGAATTTGAATGTTGTGCCAGCTCGACATTAGACATTCAACATTCAGAATTTGAATGTTGTGCCAGCTCGACATTAGACATTCAACATTCAGAATTTGAATGTTGTGCCAGCATTAGACATTACATTTGAATGTTGTGCCAGCTAGACATTCAACATTCAGAATTTGAATGTTGTGCCAACATTAGACATTAGACATTCAGAATTATGTTGTGCATTCAGAATTTGAATGTTGTGCCAGCTCGACATTAGACATTAGACATTCAGAATTTGAATGTTGTGCCAGCTCGACATTAGACATTCAACATTCAGAATTTGAATGTTGTGCCAGCTCGACATTAGACATTAGACATTCAGAATTTGAATGTTGTGCCAGCTCGACATTAGACATTTTCAGAATTTGAATGTTGTGCCAGCTCGACATTAGACATTAGACATTCAGAATTTGAATGTTGTGCCAGCTAGACATTAGACATTCAACATTCAGAATTTGAATGTTGTGCCAGCTCGACATTAGACATTAGACATTCAGAATTTGAATGTTGTGCCAGCTCGACATTAGACATTAGACATTCAGAATTTGAATGTTGTGCCAGCTCGACATTTGACATTAGACATTCAGAATTTGAATGTTGTGCCAGCTCGACATTAGACATTAGACATTCAGAATTTGAATGTTGTGCCAGCTCGACATTAGACATTAGACATTCAGAATTTGAATGTTGTGCCAGCTCGACATTCAACATTCAGAATTCGATGTTGTGCCACTCGATTAGACATTAGACATTCAGAATTTGAATGTTGTGCCAGCTCGACATTAGACATTCAACATTCAGAATTTGAATGTTGTGCCAGCTCGACATTAGACATTTTCAGAATTTGAATGTTGTGCCAGCTCGACATTAGACATTAGACATTCAGAATTTGAATGTTGTGCCAGCTCGACATTAGACATTCAACATTCAGAATTTGAATGTTGTGCCAGCTCAAGATACTTCAATCAACATGTTTTGTTATTTTTTCCTGCTCTTAAATATCAATATGTGACTTCTCAGTCAACTATGATCCTTCGTTTTCCTTAGTATGGTATATGAATATAATGCAAATAATTTTGTTCGTTTGTTTGTTTGTTTGTTTTTGTTTGTTTGTTTTTGTTTTTGTTTTTGCTTTTTTTTTTGTTTGTTTGTTTGTTTGTTTTTTTTTTATTTTTGATCTTATTCGATTAAAGATTTGAAACGTGAAATTCACTCTTGAAACTCTTATGACGACTTAATCATGACAATGTATGTATATTTCGAAGAAATATATGAAAACGTATTATTGAACACATGTTGTATACTTTGCTCAAAGTCATTAATGTCTTTGTTATTCTGTTAATTGGTAATGTATCATTTGGTGTATTTTGGGCGAGATGAAACATCATGAAAATGCGAATGTTGATTTTGTTGCAGTGCTTTATTATGTAAATCTTCCGGATGTTAACAATAACCTCGTGATATGTTTGCTTTTTAAGAATGAACGTTATGTAAAAACACTTAGATTTAGCAATACCTGTTATATAATAATTTGCAGAAAATTCCTAAGAAGTAGAATTCTTATCTTGTGGGACCCACAAAATATATAAACCGAACTTGTCCTATTATGAAAGCATCGATGCAAACACAACGCGGAGTACTTTGTTAACACAATATTGTGTGTGATATATGGGCTGTACCAAGGTATTTGGGGACAAAGAAAGTGTTCAATATATCACCAATTTTGTGAAAATATCTTGACAGTGTGGCTTTGGAGAGGTTAGTAAGCTGGTAATTTAATTCATCGGAAATTAGTTTTAAGTTTCGTCCCCCAATATACAGAAACAGGTCTATTGCAGTTGAAGTGTCACTTAAAAACTGACAGGTCAGATTCACACATGCAATCTATGTCTGTAAATTGACCAATTTTGGGCGATGCTCATATCTAGATACTTGAATTCAAGGAAATAATTGATTACTACTGGGGAAGTGAATCCACGCGATTTACTTTTCGGAGGAACATTATTGTTTATACTGATCTTTGTATCAGGATTTAGAATGCTTTCCATGAGATGTTCAGAACATACACAAGCATCAGAAGGGCACCAAAGTGAATATTTATGGAACGGAGAATGACGGACAGACTAAGGAAATTTATACAGCTGTCGTTATACTCTAAACATAAAGAACACTTCCGAAGTGAAGAGGAAGCGTACTTCAAATCTTCTATGCAAAGAAGAGGTGGAAGTGTCGGGTTCGTTTAGTTGTCTTTTGGATTATCCTCCGTCTCCTCAAATGAATCACAACTAACCTTTATTATTGCAATGAGTGTCGCCCGTTGAGTAAGGTCATTGTCTTTTTCTAATGCATCTCAAATAACTCTTCACACATAATTTACTTCCACTCTCTACAGCCAGCTCCTCTGTGTTAAGCAAATGTTTCAACCAGTTATTTCGAGGAGAATCTTTATTTTTTATGCTGTTTTGAAGTTCTTTAACACATACATCATCCATTTTTATCATAAGCAATATCACAAAATTACTGCTATACCCAAAAGATAGAAATACAGGTAATGGTATTCTGTGTCTTAGGTAGATAAATCACGCAGGTATAGAAACAACAAAACTTACGAATCGACGTAGATAACTATGGTGTTGAACTAAATGTGCAATTTTAGACCACAGAATATAACATTGGTTTCAATTTCATAAACGATTTGAATTTGTGAACTCTCAGACTCCATCAAATTAAAAAAACTTAAGACTTCTTTCATAAATCGCACATGAATTGGACCCGGGTAAGACTCTCTGTTTATTATACAAAATTACACTATGGAAAATTAAAAAACACATTTAGGAATTTTATTGTCTATATCTTCTACCAGGAAGTAAATTTTTTTAACAAATCGAGGAAGAATATTGGAATTCTGAACCTGCTGTCTCTAGTCTACATCATATCCATTTTGTTCTGTGCCGTGTCAAGTGTGTATGTATTGTAGCAGTTCAACTAAACGTTATGTCAATTTACAGGAATACAGATGGCGTGTTTTAGAGCAACACCTTCGACTGTGAGAGGTAACTGTATAACACAATCAAAAACACACAATAACCGTTTACCATTTTATATGGATGCAACTCAAATAATGTACATGCAGCAGCCATATAATAATAAATAAATACAAATGTACATAACAGAGCCCTTAATCAAGGCCCGAGTTGGGAGTATTCACATGACAACTTCTGTACATTCAGAAACATGCTATGAATGTCACTTTTAATAACTGGATTTAACATTCCCTAATTCTTTAACCCCCCCGATACATATACTGTAGTTGCTGTCTATGTTTGATAAACAATGTACATTTTCAAAGCCTTCACTAATTGTGTTACAGTTGTCTACTGATTCGTTCCTTCTCTAACTGTAATCAGACCTGGGTCTGGGTCACCTCTTATCAATCATCCCTGATCAGGTTTTACCCTCTATATTCCAGACTCGTTTACCTAAACATGTGGTATGATGTAGATGTACAGTGTGTATGCTACCTAGAGTGTGAACATCCACTATTTTATTGAAATGTGATAGACTGTTCAGTCAGTCATCAATGAGCACACGTCTCACACTTGAGTTAACCGTGGCTAAGCTGTCTCACAATCACTACACTGCCAGTTAACCACACTGCCAGTCAACCGTGGCTTAACAGTGACATAATCACTACATCACTAGTCAACTATGGCTAACCTGTCTCACAATCACTACACTCCCAGCCAACCACACTGCCAGTCAACCGTGGCTTAACTGTGACATAATCACTACATCACTAGTCAACCAGGGCTAACCTGTCTCATAATCAATATATCAACTATGGCTAACCTACCTCACAATCACTACACTCCCAGTTAACCACACTGCCAGTCAACCATTGCTTAACTGTCTCATAACCACTACACTGGCAGTCAACCGTGGCTTAACTGTGACATAATCACTACAATACTAGTCAACCATGGCTAACCTCTCTCATAATCACTACATCACTAGTCAACTATGGCTAACCTGTCTCACAATTACTGCACCACCAGTCAACCATAGTTTACCTGTCTCACAATCACTACACTCCCAGCCAACCATGACTTACATAATGCATAGTCACTAAAGTATGTGTAGAATTTCTAAACACTGTCACAATTGCTACACTGTCTTTTTATTTGACAGATGTCCAAGACCAATTTGATGAAATAATTCCACTCGAAATGCCTTCTTGTCAAAACTCTCGGCTCCATATTTCTCCCTCAGTTCATTGCGCAGTTTGGAAGACTGATGTGCGACATGGCGTGACTAAAATACAGATAGAAATAGATGACAGCGAAGGAATGGAAGTCAACTGTGAAAATAGCTCATCAATGTTTGGAAATTAGCATTACAATTTGTTGAAGTCCCAGTTTGTTTTTTTATCATTAGCAAAAGGATGTAAGTACCAGCCTCAAAAAGAAAAATAATTTGGCTATGTGACAAAGGCTTTTGAAAATTTTCGGTTGATTGGCTAGAGAGAACTTCTCTTTAGCTTGATTGGTTGAGCATCAGACTAGTAGGCCAGGGGTTCCGGGTTTGATTCCTAGCAGAGGCATTGAAATAAAAAATTACCTTTATTATATGATAAATATAGATGAGCATATTGTATTGTGATCCCCTTGTCCTGTAGGACGGTCACTACCTACCTGTTGTATTGTGATCCCCTTGTCCTGTAGGACGGTCACTACCTACCTGTTGTATTGTGATCCCCTTGTCCTGTAGGACGGTCACTACCTACCTGTTGTATTGTGTTCTCCTTGTCCTTGGACGGTCACTGTAGGACGTTGTATTGTGACTTGTCCTACCTGTTGTATTGTGATCTCCTTGTCCTGTAGGACGGTCACTACCTACCTGTTGTATGTAGGACGGTCACTGCCTACCTGTTGTATTGTGATCCCCTTGTCCTGTAGGACGGTCACTACCTACCTGTTGTATTGTGATCCCCTTGTCCTGTAGGACGGTCACTACCTACCTGTTGTATTGTGATCTCCTTGTCCTGTAGGACGGTCACTACCTACCTATTGTATTGTGGTCTTGTCCTGTAGGATGGTCACTACCTACCTGTTGTATTGTGATCTTGTTCCTTAGGATGGTCACTACCTACCTGTTGTATTGTGTTCTCCTTGTCCTGTAGGACGGTCACTACCTACCTGTTGTATTGTGATCCCCTTGTCCTGTAGGACGGTCACTACCTACCTGTTGTATTGTGATCTCCTTGTCCTGTAGGACGGTCACTACCTACCTGTTGTATTGTGATCCCCTTGTCCTGTAGGACGGTCACTACCTACCTGTTGTATTGTGATCCCTTGTCCTGTAGGACGGTCACTACCTACCTGTTGTATTGTGATCTCCTTGTCCTGTACTACCTACCTGTTGTACCTACCTATGTTGTATTGTGTGATCCCCTTGTCCTTTAGGAGGGTAACTACCTACCTGTTGTATTGTGATCCCCTTGTCCTGTAGGACGGTCACTACCTACCTGTGTATTGTGATCCCCTTGTCCTGTAGGACGGTCACTACCTACCTGTTGTATTGTGTTCTCCTTGTCCTGTAGGACAGCATTTGCCTTGGAATCCTTCCAGTGAAGACCTGCCTCTGTATCCTGTCTCCATGCCTCAACCTCCTTATGTATTCTGGAAAAAGGTAAACTTTGCTGAATATTGAATCTTGTTAATTATCTTTATTCAATTTATTTTTTTATATTAACTGTATTAAGTAAATTATGAGACCCAACTGATCTGCAGTTAAATATGTCTGAAATTACGTTAATATACCTGGTGCCAAAACTATATATTATGCATACTGCAATTCTAAATTACTAGATTTACTAAACAGACAAAAATATACAGGTTAATAAACAGCAAGCATTACAGTATATCAGTAATAGATGTGTCCTCACTTTTTGATGCTGTTCCTCTGTGCCTGTTCTCTCTGTACTCGCTCCATGTGAGCTTTGCGTGCTTTCATATCTGTATTCTGTGCACTGACCTCACTTGCATGGCGCTCCACCTAAAATTTAGCAAAAACTGCTTCATTTGCATGTCCTACTTTCCTGCAATCTTGTAAACATGAATCTGTATTCCAATACCAGTTACAGCAATCCAATATACTGTCGATCATTCCACTGCAAAAATGAAATGTCATACAGCCTTATGACATTCGCATGTATTCACCACCAGCCTGTATATTGGCGTTATCACGTGACTTTCCCCCCAATGTTCAAAATGTCTAAACTTACAGCTTTTCTATGATTCTTCACACTTGTCCGCCATTCTTCCAGCTCCTGATCTAACTTTTTCTGTGACATCTTTGCTGATAGTGCTCGCTTCTCTCGTTCCAATCTGTCAAATCATATCTAGCTGATAAACGTCTGATTAAGAAGCCAGTCAAACATCCAAGTGAATTGAATGTCACATGTTTTAGATATAAATGAAGTAGATTTCAAATATTCAACAGAAGCAAATATAATATATCTAAATGAAGGTGACAACAGAGCAATATGCCCAGGTCTGGTAGTAAGCTCAGCTTTAGCTACATATATTACTGTATACTATTTCATGACAAATGTTCTTTTATTAAATTGTCCTGTAATAAGCCCATCCATGACTTTGAGTCCGACACAAGGTGTTGACACTACCTGGCTGAGAGTAGATCAACAAGGCATACATATGGAATCCATCAGTTAAATAAAAAAATACTTAATTGTTGAAAGTAACTTGAGGGTCACTGATACTTACTGGCTCAAACGGAGTTCATTTTCCTTCTGCTGGGCAACCCGGTTGAGGTTGACCTCCGCAGAACTGTGACGCTTGTGGATGGAATTCTTCATGTGATCTTGATCCTGTCTGTTTTCATCATTTGAAGAGAATAACAAATTATAAAGGTTTCAAGAGATCAATGAAAACAACAAAAACATTTTTATATTGATTAAAAAGTGCGAATTTCAAGGCATTGAATTTAAATACAGGTTTTAGTTGCTCTTCAAATATGTCAAATCAAATAAAATTACAAAACACACTGTTTATAAGTAATTTCTTTTATCAAGACCTCTATACCTTTACTATGCTCATTCAATGTTCATAACATTCGTTATTTGATGATAAACAGTACTTACTCTGTTATTTCATCTATTAATTTACGTCTATCCTCAAATGTATCCCTCTTGTTTCTATTCTCCATTACTTTTTTCTAGAATATCAAAAACAAAACAAGATAATATAATGAATAATTATTGTAAAAAATTTGATCCTTTCATAGTTTTTATGTATTTATCAAATCTAGAACGGCAATACATTTACCAACTGTTTCGTCATAATTATAAAAATTCATTCTCATGGGTGGACAGAATATGTTATCCTATAGTTCGAATAAGATACTGTCAGTGCTGATGAAAGTATGATAAAACAGGAACCTTCAGTGGGGACATCTCTTCAAATATCCATTTCTTTTTGAAAGGTGAATTCATCAACACTTTCAGACGAAAAGTGAAAAGTAAATAACACCAAAAATGCCTGACTGATAATTCTTTTACCAACAAAATCATTTTCAAAAAAAGGAGAACAAGGACCCTTACTGAGAACCTGTGGAGGAAATTTGATAAAAATACAATTAATCCATCAAAATCACAGAAAGCCATCTGTCAGCCTTTTGTTTTTCATTTTGTTTCAGGTACATTATTGGAACAAGAGGAGCCTACCCTACTGGAAAATGTTTCTGATAAATGTCGCAAAATAAAGATAAAATCATGTAAGGACGAATGATGGACCACAAAAGGGTAATCGTCTGAAGAACAATGGTTTAAAAATTCAGTGACAGCAAATATATATTTTCTTTTTCAAATGACTTCATAGTAAGAAAGTCATTTTTTCCAATGTGGATACATTTCATTTTAATCAATAATATCCCTACCAGAATGCTTACAAACATTTGTGTCAAAGTCCATTAATATAATGTTTTAAATGTCTCTAAAACAATATTCCATCAAATATTTTATTTAATTTAGATGAAACATATTTTTTATTATTTATAGAACTTAAGTATTTGACATGTCAGGTCTTCATGATAGTATCAGTAGGGATATCTGTTATTAAGTGTGTCTTCTTCAACAATAAAAAAACAAGTTGTTATCACCTTAAATTTTATAAAATTTCACCTTTCTTAATTAAAGTGGCATTTATGATGTGATCAAAACAGAAAATTTACAACAGAACCAGAAAGAAGCTGTACCATAGAATCCTGAAGAAGTTTGACTTCTTTACGCTGAGCAGCAGTGTGAATGTCCCGACGATGCTTTTCTAGCACAAGTTCCTTCATTTCACTCTCATCTTGATCCATTAACTGTTTATTACGTTCCTGCAAACAATGAACAAAAAAAATTGAATGACAGGAAACAAGAAAAAACATGGAATCCTTGCAGAGCAAGAGAAAATGTGGGGTGGGGGAGGAACAGACCATTAAACTAAATCATAAGGTAATTGATTTCCTCAAAAAAAATAATCGTAATTTAAATTTTAACTGTTTTCATTAAATATTGACAATATCAGCACAGTTATAAAGGTAAAGTTTCAAATAATGTACAATAAATTATTTTACCAAGTTAAATTAATCGATTAATACAAAAGATTCTTATTATTGTTTTTTTTAATAAATACCTGTGACAGCTTTTTCAGTAGTTCTTTTTCTTTCCTTTCAGCCAACTTCATATCCTACAAGAGACAAATTTTAATCTCATGTAAAAAGAGCAGTTCCAGTGAGTGATGCAGTGATAAAACCTGACCCTATTTGTTAACAAGCTGATTAGAGATAACCAGTAGTTAGTGAAAATTTTCAAACACGAATCAAACAAATTTGTGGACAGTATTTATGATTTCACAGCTGTAGAATTGTTGAGACAGGTCAAATTCATATATCTTGAACGTTACCTTTGACCTTAATGCTCTTGTTTGTTCATTGGAAGAAATTAAAATTTTTCACAAACCACTGGTTAACTCTTCCTACTCTTTGAGCAACTGGGGCCTGTTATTTTGTATTATTTTAGAGTCATGTAGTGATAGGAATATTTGTACCCCTACATTTTTTATCTATGGTGTTCTGATGAGACACCATTATGAACCAACCCTCACTATCAGCTGAGACACCAGTTAGTCCCATACCTATCCTCATTGCCAGCCTAGACATTAGTTAGTCAATGCAAATCATCTTTTTCAGTATTCAAGAGTCAATCGAGGCACACCTACCCATATTGCCAGCTGAGACACCAGCTTGTCCACACCTACCCATATTGCCAGCTGAGACACCAGCTTGTCCACACCTACCCATATTGCCACTGAGACACCAGCTTGTCCACACCTACCCATATTGCCAGCTGAGACACCAGCTTGTCCACACCTACCCATATTGCCAGCTGAGACACCAGCTTGTCCACACCTACCCATATTGCCAGCTGAGACCCCAGTTGAAACAACATTTTGTCCAAACCTACCCTTGTTGCCAGCTGAGACATCAGTTTGTCCACACCTACTCTTGTTGTCAGTTGAAACACCAGTTTGTCCACACCTACCCTTACTGCCTGAGGAGACACCAGTTTGTTCTTATCTACATAAATACCCTTATTGCCAGCTCAGAGACAGGTTGGTCCACACCTACCCTCATTGCCAGCTGGATATTGGAGGAACGTTTCCACTGTGCAGCACTTTCCTTCAGTTTCCGTTCTCTTGCCTCTAGTAGTTCTGCCTCCATCTCAAGGCGCTGTTTCTCTGTCTCAACCTTAAATACACAACTGGATCATTAAGAAGCACTACCATTTAAGGATGATGGGAACAGATCAATTTAAGATAACTACTTGATCAAAGTATAACAGGATTTACAGTCTCATAAATACAGCTGACACTTACTGGTACCAGAATCATACAGATGTAGACCAAAAGACAACTCAGAAATTGATATGTAACTGTAACACAAACCTTTTTACGATGTCGGATTCTGTTTTCCTCGGCAAGCAGCTCACGTCTCTTCATCTCCGACGTAATTTTTGCTTCCTCCTCTCTCTTGCGCTGAAGCTCCCATGCCAGGTCAGCCATGTATCGGTCACGGCTGACTGCCTTCTCCTCTTCACCCTTACTCATCATCAGCTCCAAAATCTTCTGGTCCTAAACAGGATCAAAAAAGTTGTTTTGGAGTGACATAGAAATATCAACTATAGCCATACAATTCATAGATGCCATGTGAACTAAAAGAAACATGCTATATGTGTGGTCAGGTGGCACAGTGATACCACACTCGCCTTTCAGCTAGGCGTCATGGGTTTGATTCTGCCATGATGTAAAAAGGTATGGGTCATATGCTCAACAATAGGGTTTTCCCCGGAGTACTCCAGTTTCTACCTTCAGAAAGACCCTTGTGCGCTGCCATCTGGGCCAACAAGAGTGATTAATAAATGCTTAAAACTTATCTCACAATTGTTGTAAAGTAAATGAAGTTTATATTATGTTTAGATACATTTTACATGTAAAAGTTATAGCAAGCTTTGGTGAAGAAAAAATCCCTCGGAAGTGTACATGCAAAATTTACAAATGAGACAAAATAAAATAACCTCTCAAACATCAATGGTATATATCATAATTTGAATATACAATCCTAAAAAAACCAACAGAAGACAGTAGACAAAATAAAAAAAAACAGCAGCTCAATACCAAAACTGATGAAGATCCAACTAGCAGTGAGCATGAAGGTATGTTTGTATGATTACATGTGTAAGTGTTAAATATTTCTCTAGTTCTAACTCGTGTTTGTATACATAGGTGTTAAATCTTCTTTTAGATCTAACCAGAGTTTGTACATGTAGGTGTTAAATCTTCTTTTAGATCTAACCAAAGTTTGTACATGTAGGTGTTAAATCTTCCTCTAGTTCTAGCCTGTGTTTGTACACATAGTTGTTAAATCTTCCGCTAGTTCTAACCAGAGTTTGAACATGTAGGTGTTAAATCTTCTTTTAGATCTAACCAGAGTTTGTACATGTAGGTGTTGAATATTTCTCTAGCTCTAACCTGAGTTTTTACTGGTAGATGTAGCTCTCTATGTTCAATGAAATATAAAATGAAGTATGTAAACAGATTAGTGTACCAGCAAAACAAATAAAACCAGGGGTAAAAGATAAAGTTCCTCGGTAAAATGGCTCCTATGTTTGTACTAGGAAAACCAAACTTAACAATAATTTAATTTTGGTATATCGTTTTCTAACACTATGTATATTTTTCAAATAGAATTCATTTCAGCAACTGGGCATTTAGGTATTGTTTGTTCTTAGCTGGGTTTCTGATCTGTAAACAGCCAGGTTCACTTTTGAGGGCGAGAGTCTCCTTGTAGTGGGAGGTGGCTAGGTCACTGAACATCATGTGAAAGGTTTGTTATGCAGATCAATTAGACTACAATGTCTTGCCTAAGGACACAAACATAACAGCACAAGATGGTCCTTAATTCAGCGTCCTGAGAAACAGAAACCATCGTGGATAGAGATCAATCATGCTCCTCAGATCTTCTTCTGAGAAAAAGAATCTACCCTAGATAAGGATCAACAACACACCTCAGGTGTTTGCCTGAGGTTGCATAAATCCAATGTTCTATTGATTGAGATATCACGGCCTCTCAAGCTTTGATATACAGTTAAGTTTTGATACTAGCATTGTTTAAGTCTAACTAGCCATTGATATAGAAATTACTGGTTTAGCAATCCTTGACAGGCTAACAGTATCTAATACCTGTTTAGGCTTGCTTTTGCAGGAGACACCCTCAAACAGAACACAAAAATGCTGAATATTAGACATACAATAATGTACTGTCAATGGAATAAAGCAATATTGAGCATAATAACACTGGATTAGTTATGGTTCAGCTGGCTGTAGTCCAGATATCTAGTTACTCAAACTATAATATTAAAGTATTATTGCAGTAGATTTTCTCATTCAATTTACTGCACAATGTACAGGTAGCCCTAAACATGTTTCAGATGATTAAATCTTCATCCTATTGGTTTAGGCAGGAGAAAACAGAACACCTTAATCCAGAAGATTTACATTTCTATCATGAAAAATAATAAAAAAAATCAGTTTTCACAGCTTATAGAATACAATTTCCTTCAAAATAGGATCCAACTCTGAATATTTATATAGAATTTTCAAAATTAACAAACTGACCACCAAACTTTACATCAGGATAATCAGAAGAAATAACAATCAAATAAGTGATTAAAACTAGAAAATCTCTTTTATGATCCTTGCTCAAATCTAGAGAAGTGACTCTGATGTATTGATTGATGATTTTCTATAAATGGTAATGATGACCTTGACTGTAGAATGCTTCAGCACAAAATTATGTAAAGTATTGTCAACTTTATGTATAATTTGTTAGCAAATTGCCACAGAAATGAAGTTGCTAGAAAAATGGTATTAATTCATATGCAATGAAATGCAACAATTGAGAGTAGACAAGAAATCTGTACCATCAACATAACACAATAGTGCCATAAAAATTTATTGTATCAAAAGAGGATTATGGTTTACTTACTCTGGGAGTCACACAGGTGGAGCGCAGATCTACAGATGAAGAACTGAGCGTTTTCCTAAGAGAGGGGTTAGAGATGGGGCGGGCATCCCTAACAGCAGACTTATTAAGGAGACAGGACCCACTAGAGCTGTTCAGAGATAAGTTGGATGTACTGCGTGACCTTGACCTAGCAACAGATGACCTTCCAGTTCCTTTTCTTTTTATCCTCCCGCTGAAATTAGTTACAAAATAAAATTACAAGTCAATGAAACCTTAACTTAACAGTAGAACCTTCCCAAGATATAAATTTTCTATATCAGACAATCTTGGAATCCGATGCAGAAATTATATATAAGATACAAAGGTATTTTCTTGTTGATATAAAATCTTGATAGCATAACATTGTGTATAATCTAACAAATATCCTTAGTGTTTCTGTAAGGGTTCATATTCATGAATTATGGTTATAAGTATCAGTTTTACTCTGAAGATTCCTCAACACTGAAGACTTCTGAATTGATGAAAATTTATGTTTTACCAGTTATAAAAGATGAAAATCAATAATTTGGATTTCAGTAAACTTACTGCTACTATACAATGTATTTTTTTTAACCTTTAATCACAATCATACTTATATCTGCATTTAATGGTGTCATGACTATAACCAGTTTACCTTTGTGCTGATTTTGGCCTTGGTCTCATTCTCTCTTTCTTGGACAACAGTTCATTTCGTAATTTCAGACTTTCTTCGTGTAATTCATTGGCTCTACAATTGTAACATAATTATAAGCAGGAATTAAACATGTGGATCACAAAAAGATCAAAATATACCGTGAGCTCATCATACAATGTCTTCTCAACCTTGTGACACAAAATATGGTATCACACAAGTGTGAGATCAGATTATTCAGTAATAATGCAATTTGATCAGGAATAGTGTGAAACAATATTTCAGATTGAATACATAAATGGAAGAGCTGGTGTACTAATGAACAGATGCAGATCACAAAAGTACTGTAAAATAATACATATTCTTAGGGCTTCATTTTAACAGGTTTTCTTTTTTTTAAAAATTACAATTTGTCCACATTTGGTTTCCTGGATACCCACGAAAATCAGTGAAAATTAATGACCCACAAAAAAATAATGATTTAACAGTATTCCTCTTGAAAGAATATTTCAATGACTTGGAAATTCAGTTTTACTTTTTTGCCAATGATATTTCCCAGGTGACAATTAGACAAGATCACCTGTATCGTATACAGGTGTAATGTGTAATGGGTGTGTGTTGACATCAAGTCACTTTGTAAGCACTTTTTTATACCAGTGTACAGTATATTAAGAAATGAGAAATGGAAGTAACAAGGAAGGACTTTGAATAAATTTTGCTTTCTGATAACTGACTGTAAATGATTTCAAATGACTTGCAGAAAGCAGGAAATTTTAATCCATCACAGTTTTACTATCTGACAAAATAAAAGTGAATATGTTAGCCCAATTTAAAGACTCAATTTATTCACAAAATTGTACTAACACACTTTCAATATCTTCTATATGCATTTTTACACATACTGAAGAAACTACACAGTTGCAAAACCTGTATCTGCAGTGTTAAACAAATGGAATGGTAAAGAATCCCATTTGCATTTATTATATATATATTACAAAATGCATTTGTACATTCGTTACTTCAAAAGTTATAAAATATACAGGGTATTTCCTGTATATGTTTTCACTTATAAAACCAAAGATACCTTAATAACCAAAGCCATATAAAGGCTAATACATACTGTATGACAGATTTATTACACTGCCTGCTGAAAGGTCGTAATAATGGACGTAAAATACCTTACATGAACAAATAAATAAATAAATAAATAAATTGATTTACCTTTTGTTGATATCAGTGTCTGAGACTCGTTTGTGACCTACTGACATGGCCCAAGCTGTCCTCTGACGCTGTACACTTCCTCTCACCTGGCTCAGGTCCTCATCTAATCAACATACCAGGAATATGTTTTCATGCAAGTATGTTGACATAGACAAAAGACATCCACCATGATTAGAGACATTTGTTGTAAAATTCATAATTTATATGCATGACTTTATAGACACAAGACCTCAATCCTGACTACAGACACTTGTTGTCAAAACCATAATTTGTATGCAAATACAATGAGTGTCTGTTCACCGTAGGGTTTTCAATACAGATGGTTGTAATAATTCTATTGTATTTAAAATTGCAATTAAGGAAACTGTTTTATAATATTTTGACAGATAAGACATATTAGTGTAAATATATAAAAGTGTCATTTTTTTCATATTAGTTACTCACCTGAAGTAGATTTGAACATTCTAGATTTCCTCAAAGACTTTTTGGACAGGCCAGAATACTTGTTCCCCATTTTTTTACTTCTACTCCTAACTTGGTTTTCCTGTTCTTTCAGTTTGTTTCTCTCATCTCGAGCCATTTTTAACTTTACTGCAAATCAAAAGTAAAACTTTTAAAACAGAACAAGAAGAAGCTTTTCGTAAATAGAATTATCATCATAATCATTTCGTTGTATGTAACTTAAATACATATGTGTTTTAAATAACTTTGCTTGATAAAAGGATGAACAGTAGAAAGTGACAGATCCTAATACTGAAAAAGCTTTACAAAGAAATTTCTCTTTAAGTCAAGAGCCTCAGCCTGGAATAATATTTACTTTGGTTATTCAGGTTTGGTTTTATACATATTTTACCACTGTGGTCATTTAAGGACACTCTTCCAGTATATGCAAAGTGAGCACATGTGCTGAATGTGTGTGTTTTTTGAAGGCTGTGATTTATAAACATGTACAAATTAATTAATCTGTCATTGTAGCGCTTATAATGCAAATATCTAATAAGGCTATTGTAGTTGTCTTTACTTTTTCAGAAACCCTAAATATCTAACGATAACTTCTGCTAACTATCCAATTTCAGTTGATGATGTCACTCAATTATGATGTTGATGTATGTTACACAGTTATGTAATAACTTACTCTGTCGTTGTTGTTCATGGTCATCGTAGACGTTATAGATGGTACGAAGAGGCACATCTTGAGGTAGCAGCTCCTCTTGGAATTCTGCCAGGGGCTTGTACAATAGGTCTACTGGCTGTGTAACAAACATTCAAAACAAGTGAATATAGAATCTGTGATATAACATGTGTCTGAAATAGCAGATTAACACCATCAAGATATCAAATTTGAATGTTCTGTAGCAAATTCTCATATTAAACTTTAAAATTAAGAATGGGACAAGTGCAAGATGTTACAAAATGTCTGCAGTCTCAGAATGACAGTAAGAACATGTTTGGGTAGCAGATTCTTATTCTCGTAAATAGTTCAACTATTTTCATTTCCTTTCAAGTGATACATGAATGTCTGAAAAAACACTGGATATTTTTTATCATGTCCTCTCTTTTGGATAAAATATGGTATAAGTACCTGTAGACAGATCTGATGAAACAAGAAAATCTGTTACTGTGTCCCTGTCTCATGTTTGAGATAATTTTTTTATTTTTCACAGAACAAATTAACCTCAGTTTGATTGACAAGCAATGATCATGGCACACCGGACACCTGCCTATCAAAACGTATAGAACTTAAAATAGCAGATATGCAGGTCTTTACACATAGTTTAACAAGTAAAACTGTGAGGTTACCTTGACACCAAGCTTTGCACATGCCTCCAGTGACCGAGGACTTGTCAGCACATATTTGCCATCCTCGTAGTGGGGGTCCTCAAAGTTATATAGGTCAATCTTCAGTTCATTTAACTGACTGGTCAGCTGACCCACTCTAGGGCTCTCTGTCAACATCAATATTCATCAACTTTGAATCAGCTTTCAGAGTTTGACAAGGAATTAATATGTATTATATACTAGACAAAAACTTTATTTAATAAGAGGCACAAAGTCCTGTACTGTTAACATGAACGTTAAAACATGAATGTTAAAACATAAATGGCTTTTTTTCAAGAAAGTAGTATTGTAATATCATTATGTTCCATACTCTGGGTCCGAGGTGCCAATGTCCTGTACATTAGTAATGATTTACACTGCTGGTTAAAATTACTAAACGAAGAATGAGTCTAGTGCTTTCTTAGAAAACAATATTTGAACTAAAAATTTTACACACTTTGCCACAGCCCTTTTTAATCCCAATTTTGGTGCCGACTGCAATATAGTATCTATTGAACAATTTGTACTGTTTTCCCCACTTTTTTTCTCAAACTTTCCTAAGTGTATATCATCGTGTCATTGTGTCGTTAGAAGATTCACTGCAAAAACATTCATGTAGCAGGAACGTTGGAAACCAATTTCATCATCTGGTATAAAGTTAGAAAAGTACTGAATACATTTTACAAAGCATGTTTCACGTAACAGAGAAAGCAGAAAAATAACGATATTTACATTTTTCTCTGCCGCGAGCAGGACAAACTTGCAAAAACATGTTTGCGCAACTTACTGAAAAATCGTAGATCTATGTTCATGTTAAATGCGAGTCTGAGACCTCAATTAAAAACGATGCATATCAGTTAGATACATACCATTCATGATTTGTGATAAACAACTGGGATCTATAACATTTGAATATTTCGTAAAACTATAATAAATAGGTTGTTGTCGGCTTCTGTCATTCACTTGCCGCCATGTCTAAACAAACACTCAGACGGAGTCTCGTTTCAAACGAGATGTCATAACGATTCACTAAGATCCGCATATGACAGCATAGATTTATACATAGCGAAATGATGTGTGACTAGTGTGACTTGGCTGTAGGAGAGAGAGAGAGAGAGAGAGAGAGAGAGAGAGAGAGAGAGAGAGAGAGAGAGAGAGAGAGAGAGAGAGAGAGAGAGAGAGAGAGAGAGAGAGAGAGAGAGAGAGAGAGAGAGAGAGAGGATTTTTATTACTTGGACTGAAATAAAAGTTGTAGGGGACAGTTTTGAAAAAAATCATTTTTGTGGAGCAAGAGACAACATCTGTTGAAAAATTGTTAAATTTTGTTAGTTAATTGTTTTGCTTCCGTAAATAACTATTGTGACACTAACTTTATAATGGACGTCTTCTTTAAGTAAAATTCACAGACCGCTGCAATAATATATCAAATAGTAAATTTAAGGACAATCCCTTATCTCGCAACTTTTCTATAATTACAATTTCGTTTCATACCCAGAGATATGCACTTACGTTTTTGTGATTGGAGACGATGTAAGAATTATGAGATCGATATTTACACTTCATTTCACATTTCCAACAACCAGCGATTTAATTGTTTCATATTTAAATGTTTCCTTTCGAAACAGAATAGAAAAATACCACGTGATTTCCTTTCAATAAAAGAAGAAGAAGAAGAAAACGACATGCTCAAAATCACAAACAAAAAATAACCACTTTCAAAAGTTATTATAAAAATCAGAGTATTACAATTCAGGTCAACAATATCTTATGAATAAAAACATCACATTTTTATATGAGTGCAGATGGTCAGTTATTTCGAAGGACGCGCCAGTAAAACCCCAACTGAGAACCCCTGTGGCTGGACATGTGTGAAATATAACCATCTCTTTCATGGGTTCATTTCCCATCGTCTGACTCTATGTTCTATATGATTTCGCACATCAATACAGTCAATATACGACGAAATCATCCGATTTGGTCAGGGGCTTATGATAAAGACACGCCTGGATTTGGTTTAAAACAAATAAAACTTCGAAAAGATCTAGAATTTGAAACAACTGAAAACTCTTGATCAAGGATTCGGATTGGACGGGATCAACAACAGCTACCGTGAACTATATCTCGAAGTAACCCATTACACCAAGGAAAAGGGAAAATGGTTAGAAATTTATTAACCACAGCATCTTTAAACAGACATTTTTTTCTGTACTGTGGCAATGCTTCTATCCAAAATAAACGCATAGTACAGAGAAAATCTGGAATTAATTGAACTCGTACAATTCCTTTCTCATTAAGATTACGACTTCCATTTATAAATAGCAGTCAATAAGTCAATTCATTTATGTAATCCATTTGCTTGGTTGTTGCAACATCAGTCCACCTTCTTAATTTTCAAGCAACAAGTCCGTGATTTCTTTCGAGGCCAATATGATGATACAGTAAGCTAAACGCGATACTAGCCTGCTAATCTTGTTTTAACTAAGTCTTGAAAGTCAACTATGTCAGGTAAAATCAGAAACGTATTTCTACTTTTCCTTGTTGTTTGAAATGCTAGAAAATGCTTGCCTATATCTATTTTGATATCTGATTATCTTAATTGTCTCGGAACGTGCTAATTATAACATATTGTATTTTGGAATATGTTGAATAAAAATATTGTATCAATTAGAGTTAACTAGATTTGTTGTCTTTATATACCATTTTTTTTTTTCAAAACGTTCCTAATAAATCTTTTCAAAACAAACAGTCTAGTAGAAATCACAATTATAAATTGATTTCGCTAATTTTTGTGACAAACATTTTCTGTTTACTTATATTCTTTTAAAAACAAAATGCGAGTTTGAGCTATTAACAACTGAAATGTCACCCTGTATCGCAGAAAGTAATTTGTAAATCAGTATTTTCCGTTTTGACATTTTGACTTATCAACATTATTTTTGGTACGAAAATGAGATTCCCTTTTCAATGTTCAACATCAGAAAAAGATCCACTACCCTCCGTAATACGTCCCTGGGCAAAGTGCCTGTTTATCATTTTTAATCTGAGGCCTAAATGTCTCTGTTTTGTCATGCTTGATTGGGAAGGAACAGGTACAGAATGATACTTCGTCGAGTTTACTTAAATAGTTGAAACAAAATAATAGTCTTTAGGATGAATGACCAATCAAAACCACAGTAGAATCTTGCCTTAGTAGTTTTCCGTTGTACAAAAACCAAGCCCGATGCCGACTATTATGCACAATTGATGTAAACCATTTGAAATATTACTGCACAATCATTGGAATCGAGAAAAATATTCTGCTAGTTTATCGAATAGATTATTTGTTTTAAATAAACAAATTATTACTGTTTGTTATTGATTGATATGGACATAGAGACTCTCAGTCTGCATCGATAATTATTCATATCAAATCATATTTATTTAATAATTTCATTTATTTATTTATCTATCTAACGGGCTGTACGTCAACTATTACCATTCAGCGAACGAGGATGTTCTCTGCTAACCGGGCTCTTTGCGGTCCTAATTGGACGTCCCGGGCTGTAATTATGGGTACTAAAAATAAAATATCACTTCCTGTAAACACCTGAGTCCAAGAGTACTTCAATGCCAGTGTACAACGCAGGTGAAGGCAGGTTTGTATCATTTCTAATGTTAGAACTGATACCTTGTGATATAAAGGTAAAATGTTCACGACTTCTTTAAGAAATATGAGGGTTTATATTATGAATCATAAATGATAGATGTACGTGAACTGAGATCTTATTTCCAACTGACCCTAGACTCGTTTAATGACTACAGCTTGCACAGTACCAGCTGACCAACCACATCTGTCAGTGTACTCTCAAGAGTGATTTGATAGACCAGGTTGGTACTTGTCATTACTAATGCCTGTCTGTCTGTTGTCAAAGGCTTGTCTAGATAAGTAAAGTACCTATTTTACCTATCCACCCCATAAAAAAAATAATAAACTCGTTAAGACCAGCTGTTTTTAAAATATGAATGATAGATCTAAAGAAACTTTTCAAACTTTATATAGTAAACATGCCTTTGTGTTATATAGTTAGTATGCCTTTGGGTTTTATAGTTAACATGCATTTGGGTTTTATAGTTAACATACCTTTGTGTTATATAGTTAATATGCCTTTGGGTTTTATAGTTAACATGCCCTTGGGTAAAATATTAACAGAAAGATGTCACCAAATGATAATATAATTCCTCAATCAGTTCATTGTCCAGGGTTTGTTAAGTAATATTTTTTTGAGACTGATAATTTCACTGCTGTGTACCTGTTATGAAATGGTCTTTTCAAAATGGCAGGCGTAAACAGTCAAAAAATATAGGTGTGCAGACTTCCAGCTTAAAATTCACTGGTTAATGGATACTGTCTGACCAGGACAAGTACCACATGAAATTCAGAAATACTCAATATTTGCATTAAACTATTTGTATGGTGCTGTAATGGTCATAAATTATTGTAAGCCCTTTGCAAAGTTGAGTGAACTGAATTTGACATTGAGACAGGACTTTCGGTGAGGTTTTGCTCATATTTAAAACTTCTAAGATTTAATTTCATTGTCAGTGACACACACCAATAACATACGCCTCTAAGCGATATATTATTTATGTTCATCGCCCTAAAATATTCACAAAATCAAAGGAAAACAATCTTGTTTATGTTACGGAATGGTCCTCAGAAATATATAGCAACTTTTACAGAAAAAATTAAGGATTGGTTCTAAAACAGATCCATTTCTGTTATGGATTGGTGCAACAAATGACTTTGATATTTGACCGTTTAACATGAAAAGCAATCCCAAGCAAGCATGTACACATCCAGTAAGAAAGTGATGTGTGAAGTTTGAGTTTGATCAGTACATTGGAATTTGTATTATTGACACTAGCATTTAATTAACTACAAGTATGGATTTACTTACATAATTGAGCTTTCAAACAATTTATATAAAACAGAATAAGATCTTTAATTCCACTCCAATACTCTACATTCCAGTGAAATAATTGTGTATTATTGACCAAGAAAGTTCAACAATGAAAATCAGTGTTTATTATCTGTGTATTAATTCCTACCAATGCATTATTGCAATTTTGCTCTCAAAAATAATTTGAGGTGATGTAAAAAAAAAAAAAAACCAAAAAAGCAAAATTACAAGACAAAGTCTGCAAAAAAAAGACATTTGAAAATTTTGGTTAAAAGATGCTTCTCACCTTCTAACCATTGATAACGTACAGCAGAAACTCCACCCAATTTCAAGTCACGTTTTTGTTCCTAGTTGATTCAAGTCAAGATGAAGACTGTGGCACATGAAAAGGCTTTAAATGTTTCTTTGTGTAAATTATCTTTCAGAATCATTGCTTGTATGGATTCCTGGTGTATAAACCTGAAATTTGTCTTTCTATGACAGGCAATAATAATGGTTTACTAATGTAGATTGATGAAACAACAGGTTGAGGAGAGGCTTCAATGTGTACAATTGAGGATAGATTCTTGAAAGCAAACAGCACATTGATTTCAAATGGAAATTGGATTCATTTATCAGTCTTTACAGAATTTCTAGTCTAGGAAGAAGACAATACCATATGACAGTTGACTTTATTCAGCTAGGACAGTATCATTATTGTGGTTGATCTAGTGGATTAAAGATTTGACCTATTATATATTTCTATATATTCTGCCTTATTTGTTGTTGGAGAGTACTGAATCGGAACATATCACTAAGATCATCATCTTCATCATAATTTTCTTTATCTGTTTATTCAATGTCCGATTACAATAATCATGTTGTGATGAATTTTCTCTATATCAACATCTGTCATCTGCCTCAACATCAAAGATGTCTGCCATGTTTTGGCTAGCATCAAAATGATTGCCATGACAATGCATTTTCAGTTCATGAGAACATCAATAATTAGTTGATGAAAATTATCTAATTGAAACATGTTATATCACGGGGTACCACTATTTTACAATACAGAATATGTAAAAATGTTTTCCTTTGTGCTTCCTCTACACTCATGAAAAAAGATGTTCTGTAAAGCACGTGCATATGGATATATGATATGTAACATTGAACCATAATATAGGTCTTCACAGGGTTTGTTTCATTGAAAGTATGGAAATGGAGCAGGATTTGTCGATTGATGCAGCACCGGTTACTGATCAAGGAAATAAGGTGGCATCGCCTGAAGAAGATACAGGTACATGTAATTAAGTGAACAGAATTTGCTCAATTATCTGAATTTTTCAAACAACTTATGCTATTTACTCTTAGAGAATATAGAGAACACATTTTCCATTTTGTCTATTTTTTGTAAAGAGAAATTCAGGAATTGTATCCATTTTCTGATTGGTTTAAAATTTTGTCAGAAACACTGTTGCATATTTGAATATAAATCACCTTCTCAACAACTACATGTATTTATTAAACTGGCCTGCTCAGTGTCATTATTTATCAAAGGTAGATCCAGATGTACAGTTGCATATGATCTTTTTGTCAAATGATTGTAGTTGTATTGGAATTATCCCTTCTTGTTTCATATGGAAGCAGTTGATTTATGTTATTTTTTTTGCAGGAAATCAACAGACAAATGTGGATGCTTATAGTTTCATGAGTCAACTGTTTTCACCAGATGAAGAAAAATGCTTTAAGAAAAAGATTGATACTGTTTTCGAGCACAGAGACAAGATGAGATCTTTAGAAGAATATGGTGATGTTTTATTGATTCATGAAGATGAACACAAGAGCGATGCCGATACGTACTGTGGTTACCTGAACACACTAAAGATGCGTCTTGGAACAAGGCAGTCAGGTGTCACAGTGAAAGCATCTCCGAAATACAAAGAAGTTGAAAGTGGGGCAAGTAAGGGTTCAGGATTAGATGAGGCAAAAGCAAGGTTCACATTTGTTTTTCTGTATGTAAAACCCGGGTTTAATATAGATAAGATGGATGAAGACATTGAGGAGAGGGAGGAAGATTGTCTAGTTATAGTGTATGACGGTGTTGATCGTGATGCTGATAACATACCAGGAAGGTATAAAGTTCTAAGCAGCGTCTGTGCATCAGATCGATCTAAAGACACAGAGAATGCTCTAATAAAAAAACTTGAAAGGAAACTCTATATGAGAGAAGCCAAGGAAAAAAAGTGTATTGAAAAATGTTATAAAACTGCGGAAATATTCATTTGATAAATGAGTCATAAATACGGGCTTTTTCCTAGCCTCAAAAATATGCTGTGTTGGGAAGAGCATTTGCCAGACCATAATATACAATTTAATCAGCTATGAATTTAATTTATATTGAAATTAATGTTAGATACTGTCTGTGGGTGTAATACTATATCCTAAATCATTTTCTTTCATTTCATCTTTTTCTTGTCTGTCTATGATGTCACAGACTTTGTTACATCTAAGTAGCCACAATATATGTACATGTTTATATGTTTTTAATAAAATAGTTAGTATTATTCAACTCCCAAGGCATCAGTTAATCATTACAACTGTTGTTTAAACTCCTAATGTACACAGGGATAAATCTCTGAACTGGTTTTGATTGTTTTACTCAGTAAAATTTGTACATATTACAATCAATCTATTTATTATCAATTTAACTGGTCCTTTAAAGATAGTAACTTGCTAAGAACTTGTTATAAATTTGAATGCATTGTTATATTTTATAATAAATAATGTTATTTCCACATATTTCTGAATTTGTCACTTTTGTTACCGCTATTAGTGCTAGTTCCTATCATCATACCTCAACGATCCTATCACAATTGATGATGTAGTTGTTGCTCTGGTAGAATCAATTCATTAAAGAATTGTGACTGTTTATATGGCAATTCTCTCACTCTTTGGTAAAACTCTAAATAAATTTTACTATTTTCTTAAGGTTTTTGAAATATCTCGTATGTAGACTGCCTTTGATCCATACATTGTGGTTGTTAAGTTCAGTTTTAGGACTTGTCCAGAAAAAAGAATTGCCCAAAGGCGGCCATATTGAATTTTGAAATTTGAAATTTGTTCTTGCTCTCTCTTGAGAATGACTGGATAGATCTTACTAAAATTTCAAACGTAGATTCCCTTTGCTCCCAAGTTGATGACTTTTAATTGGCCAACAGACAGCCATATTGGATTTTGAAATGGATTTTGAAAGCTTGTTATCACTAATTCTTTTGAAGTACATCTGTATTGCATGAATCTTACAGACTTGCATATTGGATTTTTAATGTTGAAGTTCATCATAACTACTTCTTAATGTAATTGATGGATCTTTCTAAATTTCTGATATGGATCTCTCATGTACAGTCCCATACTCATTGTGTTAGTTGAATTCTGAGACAGATTGAAAAAACAAAATAGCAAAAAGGACACCGAATTGGGTTGTGAAAGTTTATGTTTGTTATCCTTATTTCCTGAGAAGCACTAGATTTTACTTTATTTATTTATAGATTATTTACAGATTTTACCTCCACTTCTGCGGCAATTCAACCTTACAGCAGACAAAAGACAAACGTCTTTCTCAAATTTCATATGTTGACCCTTGCTATGCTTTGTCCTTGTTATATGTAATTTAGACATCCATTGAACTCCCCAATAAAGATATGTTTTAACCTAATCCTTAATCCCTAAACCCCTTGATCAGCATTATCTCACCTTCTCTTATTCAAAAGGTCATGTGGTGATCTTTATCATGGATGGGCCTCACATTCGCACCAAGAGATTGGTCCAAAGTTATTATAGTGGTGTGTACATTGGGAGGCATGAGATATGACTTTGATTGGCTGTATTGTGATGCCATGGTGATGAGATATATATTTTGATTGGTTACATTCTTTGTTGCTAGGTTGATGTATGTATTAGACACATACATGTAAACTTTAATTTTTATTTTTTGATGAGATGATAAGAGTTATGACTTGGATTTGTTGTGCTGTGTGTTGCAATTGTGACAGCAGGGACTGCTTTTAGCTTAAGTAACATGGAGACATCATAAGCCATTTTGATTGTATGTGTTATTTGTTGCCAGGGTGACTAGAGGACCGTTATTGTTGCAATGTGGTGACACAGAAATAATTTTGATTGGTTATAATATTTGTTGTCAGGGTGACGGGAGATATGACTTATTTGATGTATTGCCATGGTGACATCGGACGTGATTTTGATTTGTTATATTTGTTGTCAGGGTGACGGGAGATACGACTTATTTGATGTATTGCCATGGTGACATCAGACGTGATTTTGATTTGTTATATTTGTTGTCAGGGTGACGGGAGATATGACTTATTTGATGTATTGCCATGGTGACATCAGACGTGATTTTGATTTGTTATATTTGTTGTCAGGGTGACGGGAGATATGACTTATTTGATGTATTGCCATGGTGACAACGGACGTGATTTTGATTGGTTATATTATTTGTTGTCAGGGTGACGGGAGATATGACTTATTTTATGTATTACCATGGTGACATCAGACGTGGTTTTGATTTGTTATATTTGTTGTCAGGGTGACGGGAGATACGACTTATTTGATATATTGCCATGGTGACATCAGACGTGATTTTGATTGGTTATAATATTTGTTGTCAGGGTGACGGGTTTTGATTGGTTATACTATTTGTTGTCAGGGTGACGGGAGATACGACTTATTTGATATATTGCCATGGTGACATCACGACTTATTTGATATATTGCCATGGTGACAACGACGTGATTTTGACTTATTTGATGTATTGCCATGGTGACATCAGACATGATTTTGATTTGTTATAATATTTGTTGTCAGGGTGACGGGAGATATGACTTATTTGATGTATTGCCATGGTGACATCAGACGTGATTTTGATTGGCTATATTATTTGTTGTCAGGGTGACGTGAGATATGAATCGCCAGTACAGTCAGGTGTTAAGTCTGTACCGCGCTTTACTCAGGAAGGGACATAGCCTGCGTCTCACAGACAAGGACTTTTATATGAAGAGGATCAGACAGGAATTCGAAAAGAATAGATATCTCACTGAAGATACTCAAATACAGAAGTGTATTGAGGTAAGTGTTTAGCAAAGCTAATAATTGTCAGTTTCTTTAAAGCGTGCACATATCAAGTATATGTATGACTTGCAAAAGTATTAGAAAATTTCTTTTCGAACATACACTACAGTATTTGGACGTGAACATGTAAATTTTCTTATATTTAAAACACACTTGACATACGACATGCACACGTGTACTTATACACGTGCATTATTCAAGCTCATATAAGTTGCAGTGCACCATGTTCGTCTACAAAGCCATTGAATTATTATATTGACATATGTAGCACAATATGCTGTGTAAAAGTATGTATATGTTAATACCATTTAAATTACATTTAGTTACATGTTTTTATCATAAACAAGGTTATCATCTATATATAACAAAAAATTAAAGCACATCGTCTTGATTTCAACTGTGACGTCTTAGAACGTGTACAGTCATTCGAACTACATCATTTTCTAGAACATGATTATTTGAACGTTTATTATAATAATTTGTAAGGTTTGTTATTGTTTCAGAAAGGAGAAGAGTTCATCAAGAGGAACGCCATTGTGTAGACAACAAAAAAAAAACACCGTATCTAGAAGAATGTTGCATAGATATTGAGGCTAGTGAGAGGAAGGGGCTACCGATAGGGAGGGGGATAATTTCATGACATATTTATAGATGGAAGTGGATGAACATGTGGCTCCAGGAGAGGTAAGAGAAAGTCCAGATGGTTGCCCAGACGACACGTGTCATGTGGACCTGCTGGCAGCGATACACGCTAATGACATCAGCTGCGTAATTTGTGTTCTAGAATCAGGATGTCAACAAGTGACGCTGGACTCGGGTCTTTGCTGGGCCAGTCGCTATGGCAATATTGAAATGGTGTCGCGTCTGCTTGAAAAAGGGGCCAACCCAAACGCTGTGGTATGGGGTGGTTTTAGTCCTTTAATTTGGGCAACGATATATGCACCAACGGTTGAAACCATTTTGAATCTCATTGTAGCTGGAGCCGACGTCAACCATTCCAGTGCAAAACGGCGACAGACGGCTTTACACGCTGCAGTTATACGTGACAAAGTGGAGTTTGTAAGCGCCCTTGTGGAGGGTGGTGCAAATCTCGACTCACGTGACTACTTGCACAAGACGCCGCTTATGCACGCAGTGCAGCGTGGAGCCACGTCATGTGTCAAACTGCTGATCTACTATAATTGTGACGTCACGCTGACGGGATGGGTGGATGGAGTTAGCGTATCTCCATTATTGCAAGCCTTAGCTAGCGGAGATCTTGAAATTACACGCGTTCTCGTTCTCGCAGGGGCTCGATTTGACCGCCCGACAATTTCCCAGACTTTCACTTTTGGGGAATTTTATGCCACTCTCGAGAGAGAACTAAAGCTGGAGGTACGGCCAGTTTACCTACAACAACATTGTAGGGTTAGAATCCGCCACCTTTTGAAGCCTGGATTTCTTGACAAACTCAGACAGATTGGGTTACCTCCCCTACTCCATCGCTACCTCCTTATCGACGAGATGGACGTTTGATCTTCAAAGGCACTAGATGTGTTGGCGTTATATTTTCGTAATGCATTTATTAATTATTTTGAAATTATGAAAAATATCAGGGAAACATTATACACATATGAATAACGTTATAAATGAGTGTGAGTTTTTTAAAAGTCATCCTCGAGACGTTTTTATCTGATATCAGAACATATAAATTGCTACGAATTTCGTTTTTATGTGGTTTGTACATTTTAAGGGTTGACCAGTAAAAATTCCTTTTGTCTGTCTGGATTTCTTTTTCTTTTCACTGTCACAATGTTTAAAAAATGACTAGTTTTTACATCAATCGTGTTGGTCAAAATAACATTTACAAAATTCCCTTTTTGCCCCTGTGTAGTTACGTAATGCTGTGTGAATGGTTATGGTACTGTTTTAATAACGGTCAATGTTTTATGTGTGTAGAATTTTACTGTGCAGTGATAATGACAATAAGTAAATTAAAACAGATCATGTACATACAGGTTACAATCTTACACATATGTACAAAAAATATTACAATATTTAATCACACTGAGAAGAATGTTTATAACATTGTAACACACACACACAAACATATTTACTGTATTTAATTACACAGAGAAGAATGTTTATAACATTGTAACACATACACAAACATATTACAATATTTAATCACACAGAGAAGAATGTTTATAACATTGTAACACATACACAAACATATTACAATATTTAATCACACAGTGTTTATAACATTGTAACACACACACAAACATATTTACTGTATTTAATCACACAGAGAAGAATGTTTATAACATTGTAACACATACACAAACATATATACTGTATTTAATCACACAGAGAAGAATGTTTATAACATTGTAACACACACACAAACATATATACTGTATTTAATCACACAGAGAAGAATGTTTATAACATTGTAACACACACACAAACATATTTACTGTATTTAATCACGCAGAGAAGAATGTTTATAACATTGTAACACATACACAAACATATATACTGTATTTAATCACACAGAGAAGAATGTTTATAACATTGTAACACATACACAAACATATTACTGTATTTAATCACACAGAGAAGAATGTTTATAACATTGTAACACATACAAAAAATATTACTGTGTTTAATGAATCCGAGAAGAATGTTGATGAACCAGCAACGTCTTGTAAGCTGTGGAGTAGTTGAGCAATTTATTTAAGGCCTATTTTTCTTTTTTCATATATGGGTCTTTATAGTCAGATGACTATTAATGGCCATGAGCCTCTCGTTAAGAATAGGTTTGATAATGTAACACATACTCAAACATATTACTGTAAATTACACTGAGACCCGGTATAAAACATCTGTGTGTTTCTGCTTTGAAAAGAGATCAAAGATAAAATGTAAGTCAGCCTTTAAGCTATTACATGGTCTATGCTTACTTTGTATTGTTTGACGTAAGGATCAGTGGACATTCACTGTGATAGACGTGGCTTGACTTGACGTTTTCAGAGTGAATCTTTTTGAAGGCCCCAACCTTTCTTCCAATCCAACGAAAAAATCCTAACTTAAAGTACAAGGAAAACAAGATCATGTGTTCCGGAAGGCTAACCTTCTGTTTTAATATGGATACTCCAAGTAATGTCTCTTTTACAAACGAGACCCGGCTTAGTTACAACGAAACCATTTAGATCGTGAGATTTAAAGATTTTTATCGCCGATATTACTGTAGATATTGTGTGTGTTGCCAACAATCCTTTCTTCATATCACGACCTCTACCAAAGTAATCGCCTTTCACCTAAGCGACCAGGGTTTGATGTGAAAAGTTATGGAGTTACCTGGCCGACTATACGAGTTTTCTCTGGGTACTCTGATTTTCTCCCACAGTAAGACCATCGTTCGCTTCCATCTGGCCTACAGGAGTGAATGATAAAGGTTTGAATAACTTAATATACAATTCGCTTTACACACATCAGGCAAATCTGTGTTTTGTACAAGGCTGACATCGTATTTAATTTATGAAACGGCGTAGATGTCGTTGGAACAATGTATTACATCATTACATTGTCGGATTTGATTTCAAGAAGAAATTTTGCGTAGTTTTATCCTTGTTTCACGTCCTTTTAACAGTCAGGGTCATTTAAGGACATGCGAGGATTGGGTGTTGGAGGAAAGCTGGTTTTACGGAAGGAAAGCCACCGACAAGAACTGACAATACCTGTTTCGGGATTTGAAATGAATTGGAAAAATTGACTAATTTCATTTGCGTTTTGTCTCACAGAGTAAATAAGTCATTATGGACAATTACGTGTAGCTCTACAATAAACAAGGTCGTGATTTTAACTATCTGATGCTCTCTTTGAAGAGTTAACATTAAGCAAATATCCCTACGTGGTTGGAAATCTAGAAGCTACGTAATATGACCTGCTGTCATGTGATGTTGCTGGGTGGTCGTGCCACATGTGGATAGTTCCTTCAATTTGTCATCATTTTCTGCACACTTCCTCTCCTCTTTGCCGGATAGTTTGTCATGTTCTGGAGTATGATAGACGACCCTCCACAACAATGCCTGCTGGAGTTATGCAGTCCATTCATCACAATTGAAGTATTATTAATCAAATTTTAAATGTTTGAAGACGTTTAATTACTATTTTAGAAGATAGATGTTAGAAAGGCAGATCGAGCAAGTAAAACACTCACGGAAGTCTTGTCAGATGTTTACAATGTCAAAAGTGAAATATCGACTCTCCTAGTCACCATGCCGTACCCGGTAGGTGGCGCTGCATACCTACAATGTGAATTACATCTCGTCTATGAGGAACAGTGTGAAATCACACGGCGAACGCTGGAACCTCCGAACTCTAGACCAGTTGAGTTTCCTGGTCGCTGACGATCGCCCAAGCCCAGATCACTACACTTATCTTGCTTTATTTATTATTACAGAAATGGACAAATGTTCTGCTTCATGTTCTTTTGCGTGTAAAAGTGAATTACTATGACTGATTTACTATCATTGTTTGTTCTTAATAAATTGTATATTAGTATCATCAATCAAACAAAAAAAAAAAAAAAAGAAAGAATGTACATTAATTTAAAAGATGAAAAAGTAAAACTAGTAATAATGCGGTTTACTAAAACATTTTGATATGGGGGTGAAAACGGTCTTTTAAAAGCAGAACATTTAATGTACACCTGTCAGGTGTACAGGTCTCATCACTGAAGTCTGTACACCTGTCAGGTGTACGGTCTCATCACTGAAGTCTGTACACCTGTCATGCATCCGGTCCCAACACTGAAGTCTGTACACCTGTCGGGTATACGGTCCTAACACTGAAGTCTGTACACCTGTCAGGTGTACGGTCTCATCACTGAAGTCTGTACACCTGTCAGGTGTACGGTCCCAACACTGAAGTCTGTACACCTGTCAGGTATACGGTCCCAACACTGAGGTCCGTACACCTGTCAGGTATACGGTCCCAACACAGAAGTCTGTACACCTGTCAGGTATACGGTCCCAACACTGAGGTCCGTACACCTGTCAGGTATACGGTCCCAACACTGAAGTATGTACACCTGTCAGGTATACGGTCCCAACACTGAAGTCTGTACACCTGTCAGGTATACGGTCCCAACACTGAAGTCTGTACACCTGTCAGGTGTACGGTCTCATCACTGAAGTCTGTACACCTGTCAGGTGTACAGTCCCAACACTGAAGTCTGTACACCTGTCAGGTGTACGGTCCCAACACTGAAGTCTGTACACCTGTCAGGTGTACGGTTCCAACACTGAAGTCTGTACACCTGTCAGGTATACGGTCCCAACACTGAGGTCCGTACACCTGTCAGGTATACGGTCCCAACACTGAAGTCTGTACATCTGTCAGGTATACGGTCTCATCACTGAAGTCTGTACACCTGTCATGCATACGGTCCCAACACTGAAGTCTGTACACCTGTCGGGTATACTGTCCAAACACTGAAGTTTGTACACCTGTCAGGTATATGGTCCAAACACTGAAGTATGTACACTTGTCAGGTATACGGTCCTAACACTGACGTCTGTACACCTGTCAGGTATACGGTCCTAACACTGAAGTCTGTACACCTGTCAGGTATACGGTCCTAACACTGAAGTCTGTATACCTGTCAGGTATAAGGTCCCAAATCTGACGTCTGTACACCTGTCATGCATACGGTCTCAACACTGATGTCCCAGTGTATATGGTTCCAATACTGACGTCTTCATGCCTTTCAGGAATTCAGTTGCAGGTTTTAGCTCGGTACAAATGCAAACAGCAATTATTTTGGTAGATGCTACAGACAACACTACAGATCTTATCGCTAATTTCCTGACCGCCACTGCAGTCCCGTTTACTGAAGTGACATATCCTCCAGCTGTCTTGAAGGATAGATATCTCCCAGGTTACAGTTTTATAATAACGATTTTGCGCTATCTCCGATAGTTGGACTACAGGTCTTTACGGTCTGAACTGTAGCATATAATCGGCCTCTTGTTGATTACATGTCAACTAAGCGCGATTAATTGTCACCTGAGTCCTACTTCCGTATCCTGTGCTAGATGGCGGAAAATAATCCGATTTCCGCCCATCAAATATAGGATAAAATAGTTTGGAGCGGACCAGGCCATTATCGAACGTTTGTCTTTATTAGATTTAACTCAACGGGATTAAATTCAAACGAGCCAGATATGGCAGCTACTTGACGCTATAACAGTCAACGATTGTCAATCAATTTAACTTCCCTTCTCTGTATCCAATTCTCTCCCAAGGCAGAGAGCAATAACTTGAGAGCATAGACACTGCTTAGATATAGGGAAAAGACACATCCAATGGTAAGATGGGACCTAAACCGAACGGTATTGGGACCCTCTAAAGGCAAATCCTGGAGATAAGAGACGTTTTATTTAGTGTCGTTAATTAATTAGAAGTTAGCTCTGAAGAGCTGTATTATTGATAAAACATGTAAAATATTACCGTTAAACAGGACATACACTAAAGATCTACTGAACGTAAGACAAATGTATGTAAATAACACATTCAGAAGATAAATATAATCACATAGAAATTTCAGGAGATAAAAATGTAAAAAGATCCAGCCCAACGTAGAATATTAGCATTGTGGCTGTTGTAGACAGTAACGTACCAATTATATGGAACATAACGAAGAAACAGTAAACAAAATGGTTTGTTATTGTCTGACGGTCCATCGGGAACTGAAGTCCTTTAGGGTAGTGG